CAGAGCAACTCCGCTGAATTCTTATAAATGGCTGACAACTCAACTAAAGCATTTTTCACCACATCAAATTATAGATCTCCTAAGTTTGTAAGAAAAGCTTCAACGTACAAGGTGTTTTCAATGTCAATTCCGCTTCGGCACCCATTGTGTAGCCCTGCTCCCTGGATATTGAACAAAGCGATTCGGTCGTTCGTTCCGTTTTGAATGAATACTCTTGTGGTCTGAAAATAGCGTGAAATTATTGGACTTTGTTACGAGGTAATGAGAAAACGCTAGAACTGGTGTTTGTGCGTGTGCCATTGGACACGAACCTGTTCGTGTTATTGGTGTAGATCGACTTGAACAAAGTATACGGTTTCGTGCCAACCGGAGTGAGATCTGTGTATCGTGGCTCTTCGTTTATCCATGAGAGATTCTTTCTGTTCTAAAAGAAAAAAAAACTTTTAGCTCATTCTATGGAATTTTCAAGCTTGGAAAATACTTGGGACCCTTGCTCAGCATCTTCTTATCTAGTACCTAGTAATGTCTTTATTTTCTTTGTTTTCTATTAATTCTTTTTTCCCGAGTCTATAGATAGAACTCCTAAGAAAACTTCCACACCACCGCGACATCTTTTCACTACAGTGGGAACTCCCTTCTCTTCAAACGATACTCATCAGATGTCCTTTGATCAATCATTAACACCTGAATGAACTAATGCAGACCGCGGAATGATCTGATACTTCTCCGAATCGATACACGATAAATAGTCGCTATTTATGCCTCACAACGAAATAAACGCACTCAATTATCGCAATTCCGCCTGTATGCGGAAAAATTAAACATCCACCAATGCACCAACAACTATTTTTGATTTCCCACAGCTCAGTCAATTAGGAGCATAGTTTAAAGTTGAGTAGAATGTTAACCTTTTTGCCCAAAAATCAATTAGTCACGGATGCTTAATTCACACCCTTTCTGCAAGTGAGAAATGGGAGGAGCTTTTCTTTTGTTAATTGAGAAAACATACACCTTAGCGCTAGCAATAGAAATTAGCAAAGCTACGAGAACCTAAAACTACAATAACTACCCAGTTTTTTATGTTTAGAGAAATATTTTAGTGCACGTGCATGGTGTATAAGTAAATTCGAAGAAGAACCAGCTCATTTTTTTCCAAAAACATTTCTTTAGAGATAACATCCAACCGATGCTCATCCAAAATTGTGATAAAGCAAATTCTTCAACAAAGAAAACAAATACTGTATAACTCCAGAATGTACCTTACATTACTTTGCTTAAAAGGTTAGACCAATGTTTCTAATCTAATTTTGCTTCACTTAAGCCTAGTTTTTACTAGCGCGAGCTGCATTTACTCAGTTTCTGTCATCATGTCGAAGCCTACTGTACTATGCCAAGCAATTAAGGACAAGCGGAAGCGGAAAGGTGTCATCTCAATCTACAAGCTTTGAAAATATATATTATATCTATATTTAAAGTTCTACAATTATCAAGAAGCCAGTGCTGACGATTTGAGGAAACAAAAGTTTTCCATATGCAAGAGCGAAAATCACGTTAAAATCCATTTCAGCCAAAAAGGTTTAATAATACTAAGAAAGGGTAGCTGTTTTCTATACACTGCAAAAAACTATGGGAGCGCGGACCAATGGTAGTGCATGCAGGGGCTTTGGCATTCCATTTACTCAACATAGAAAACTTATTGATTTTGAGAATAACCGCTGCTGCTACTTACAGTAATCCACTCCGCTTATGTAAACTGCAATCTTAGAGCAGGCGATATTGATTACGTGAGAAAGACTTTCCTCATACATTTTGCAGTCAAAACTGACTGCTACTAGAGCTGAATAGTTCTGCGTTTGAATGGACTTTGCTGTCGACCATTGAAAAGGAAACAAAGCGAATAAAACGTTTGTGACTTTCACGAGGACTAGGAGTGAAAATTTCAAATTAGACTGCAAAGAAATTGAAAAACATTTTTGGAAAACCAAAAAGAGAGGAGAGGAGCGGTACCTCGACTGAATACTTGCCACTCGCACTAATACAACGTTCGTAGGGGCAGTAAACTACCGTAATCGCTTAACATCAATCTGTGCGCTTGCAAATCATGCCCTCGCTTTGAAGACCCCCGTAAAAACTCGGAAAAAACATTTTCTGTTCCAAGTTGAAGT